CATCAGCAATGATAGGTGTTGATAACAACTCAGGTGGATGTTTTAACCGCATCAATCAAACACCCTCACTTGGAATTTTTAATGTTATTCCTGCTGCTTTGTCATAAAATAAAATGCATTCGATTTCGATAGTTATTAAAAGTCATTTACGTTGCTGTTAGGTATGATACATCATCTATCATTGTGATGTTATGAAAGTATTATCATGTAATAAAAATCACGGGCTTGGGTGTTGTTCACAATGGCTGTTACCTACATCTAATGTTTCATTGAGCTTGCGAAAGAAAATGCATAGGATACAATTAAGAAGTAAGAGAGTTTCATAGAAAGTTTGTCATGTAGACATTTATTTCCAAATCTATCCCTTTAATATCGGTACTGGTCATTTACCAGGACTCAATATGAATAAGGCGCAGGATCGACAAAATGCAATTCATTAAAGAGGAAATGATAAGAAGAAACAACAATGCAAACTCCCTGCTTCGTTTTCGAGTCAGATCCATCAAGTCTTACAAAATTTCGATGTTGCAGATGGAATTCATCATTCATTGTGGGATTAAGCAAATGTAAGACTATTTTTGATTTTGCCTAACGTGGTAAGAAAAAATAATTTTATTATATTGATTGTGTCCTTCCACAAATCATTTAACGACTACATTATTCGAGTCCTTATACTGGATCATGACACAAAATAGTATAGCTATATTAACGCAGGTAGGTGTAGAATGATATCAAACTTTATGACGATGACGTCAAACTTTATATCAAATAACAGCCCGTGGTAGAAAGATGCTGAACATATTGTGATGCTTGTACATGGGCTATCCCTAGATATATATATCCGTTGACTGTTGCTGAATATTGTTTCTGTACCTACATAGGGAAGAACAAACAACAATTTATATATTCAGAGAAAGCAATTTGCTATATCTTGCATGTATAACAAAAACAAACTGGTCTCAAAGTAGAGTGCGTGGGGGTAGGGACTGCCGTACTATAATTAACCATGCTCATTATTAATTCAATATACTGCTGCATTAATGGACTAACGAACTTAAACCTAGATACTAAGGTAACTAGGGCGAGTATTAATAACGATTTTATGCGCTAAACTGTAGCTTAGAATCTAAAGTCAATGAACTTTATTTGTTATTCTTAGAGACTTGATTCTTGGAGGTCCTTTGGAAGCAAACTTCATCCTATGATATTATATCCTCAGACGGAAATACCTAAAACAAAGAATACTTTACACATATTTTTTTTAAAACTATATTTCGCCTGTGGATACCTTTTGCTTACCGTTTTATTTAAAAGTCTACAAGCCAAAGCGACATCTATGTTTACTTTTTGTACATATGTAACGCAGATTATATCCAGGATATTTGATTCTATACCGGTTATTCTTATAGTAAAAATTGAAGGATAATAAGAAGATTTAGAAAATGTTAAATTTTACTAGTGCATAGTTTTCATTTTCTAGTCTTCTTGGTTTAGACCGCTTGGTTTCAATGTTCTATGGCGGCGTATCCAGTATGATTCCTTTTCCTTCCTGGTTTCGGAACTCCAGCTGTGGTTGTTAGCAATAGCGATAAGTATTATATCACTGAAAGTGTGGCCAGGGGAGGAGAAGTGTTCTACGACCGGGCTTCTGTACAGCTTTTTTGTCATCCAATCAGATCTATGAAGGTTTCGTTGCGTTTGTCTTGTCCTCTAAAAAGCTAGATCATAAGTATTTACATTTCAGGTTTTTCATGTTACATATATTAATGACATCAGTAAACAGTGTAAGATTATGCCTTAACAAAGATCCCCTAATGATTGTTTTGACTTCGATAGATTGAAATTGCAAGTAGTAAATCGAATTGAACCTGAGCCTTAGCAATGATAATTATTTCTACATTTGATATGTTCTAGATAAATGGATATGTTCCTGGGTGAAATTTAACATGTGAAACTCAAGTTTGCTTCATTTTTCTGCAGGCGGTTCTATTACATGGATACTGTAAAATCAAAATTAGTAATGACGTAGACAGCAATAGTTGCTGCAAATGATGAAAAGGTGATTGCTTAAGCGTTTTTCATTCGCTAGAGGGTGTATAACGCAAAAGTAAAACCTCATTGGCTTTAAAGAAAGGTAATGTTGATGATTCAGACAGAAAACCCAGCTTTATCGCAAAGTGGTTATTAATGACCATAATCTTTTTTTCCTGTCGGCATTTTGTAAATGTATAATATAAATTAATACCAAAGTGTGGTAATACAGGACACATACTGATCTAGATGGCAAACCACTTCACTTGTATTTGAAATTGCGTTTTGAAGGGTACGAAGGATCTGAAATTAACAATCGGTGAGTACCTTTATTATATGATTAATGCCTTATTCCGTAGCTCCGGTGTCGCATCATAATCCAGCATGTGCTCATCGATGTTACTGAGCACCATTTATATCGACAATTTCTTAAAGAGAATTTGTTTTTTGCTTGTTTTTTGTTTTTTGCTTGTCACCTGCTGTGATTTGAATCCGGTTCTGGTTTTTACGGCGCCTATCAAAATGCCTGCACACACGATTTATTATACCTTTTCAACAATTTTGTAGTGAAATTGTATAAGGAGGTAGAAAAGAAATATATATGATAGAACATTTGTTTCTTCCTCTACTTATTTAGTGTAGGTGATTGCTGAGTGTGGAAAAGTCCATGAGTGCTATAATATGTGGCCTCAGCTTCGCTTTTCTGTAAGGGTATATGGATTGATGCAGACAGGGCAATGAATGAAGTAAAGAATTTCTTTACGCTGTATGATAATGTCCCTTCAGGATTGAGCGATAGCACCTTCTGCTCTGCCAGGTGTATCTATGCATCTTTGGTACATGCATGAAAATGGATAACGTTGTGAATTAATCGATATTTGCCGTTGTTTATGTTATTTTTTCTTGTTGGTATTAATATTAGGAAAATTGTGGGGACAATGGTATTTGCGGTGCGCGAGTCAAGCGTCCGCTTTACTAGCTATGAGACGGACTTGTCAGTGTTGAATTTTAACGACTAAAGAATAATATTCTTGAGATATTATTACGAGGTCTGTAGAGATATACTTTTATAGCAATAAAGCACGTTGAAAAATGTGGAGCACATTACTACTTCAAATTTTCATCACCTAATTGTTGCAATTAACCCCTGATCCAAAGTATGCTGCAGGCCTCGTTTTGCTATCATCTTCATCTTTAACTGTCCTAATTGTTCTGTCGTTCTCTTGCTTCTTTCGAAAATGTGAACAATTCAATGAATCACTCTCTGTTGGTTATTCATTCAGTTCATCTTACAAAATGTTGATATTAATAACAATCTTAAAATATCGTTTGTTACGGAGTATCAATGACAATATGATCTTTCTAGATTAAAGATTTGTTTCAATTTTTATCAACGATGTGTTTAAAAGTTACGGGGTTGGAAACAACAGATTTCAACATTATGAGATGTAACAAAAAGCCTAAATCGTGTATAGTAGAGTTTATATATAACTGCCATGTGACCAATCAATCGAGATAGAGACTCGGGTAATTCTGTGGAAATGTGGATGTTCTATGTCCATAAAATATTTCATATGATCCTTATAGTAACTAAAATTAAAAATGTGCCATGGAGAATATTAGTAATAGGAATATGTTGATTACATATATTCTATGATAATGCCATGTGAGATGAATGAACCTATTATAAATAAAATGAAGATATACTATAATCATTAATGTTGACCTAGTGTGAATCCAAATACATTGAGCTACTCAGAATTCTAAAGAACAAAGGAACGGTGCGAGATATAAACTAGTCAAAATAGAGTAATTGATCACGAAAACAGATCTACTCATATTTAAAGGGTGTAACGTTCTCAATTTTAGTCATATGTGTGAATCAACTAAGTACATATTAATGTATATACATACACTTGCTTGCGTAAAGAGATACTACGCAAGTCATGGGTCCAATCTATCGGGTTTGGAAAGATAATATATAACTTCAGCCCTAATTATTTTAAGTAAGCAAGCGATATTTATGGCACAATTTTAACATGCAGAAGACATTTATGTTACATGGTTATACATGAAAACTAGACTGCAACTTGCAAACAATACGGCGTTATTAATCATGAAAGGTTGATCGAACTTTATGCTTAAGATGCTACGTAATACAAAATAGGCTGTTAACAATATTTTATATGAACAAATGGAGTCTATGAGGTTATTATTATTATTATTATTATTATTATTATTATTATTATTATTATTATTATTATTATTAATTGTTATTATCATTATTATTTGTCCGCGTGCATGAGAGGATGGTGTTAGAATACCAGAAACTGTAGAAGTAACAAAACGTGGAAACTTTAAAATAATTATAGGAACCAAAGACTACTCCAAAGAAAACTCCTGAGTAGTGGATGATTCAATGACGACAGGAGCATGGCATGAGTTGTAAATTGTGACAAGATCAGGAGCTTGGCATGAGTTGTAAATTGTGACAAGATCAGGAACATGGCATGAGTTGTAAATTGTGACAAGATCAGGAGCATGGCATGAGTTGTAAATTGTGACAAGATCAGGAGCATGGCATGAGTTGTAAATTGTGACAAGATCAGGAGCATGGCATGAGTTGTAAATTGTGAAAAGATCAGGAGAATGGCATGAGTTGTAAATTGTGACAAGATCAGGAGCATGGCATGAGGTGTAAATTGTGACAAGATCTACATCTCTTTACGCATTTCAGCAGTTTTCAGCTAAGTTAAAATAATTGAAAACCATACAGAGAGATTAAGCGATATCGCATTTGACAGAAATATTTTTGAAAGAACTAAATGATTGGCTCTTCTTCCACCAGCTAAAATCTTATATGTAAGACGTCGTGGCAAACCAACGCTTATTTATCATCCGTTGCTGCCTTAGCAGAAAGTTTCTCTTTTTGCACGAGTTATAAAAAATAAACTTTATAAACAATTAAAGACTGCTGCGGTGGTCTGTTGGTTAGAGCGTCCGCCTTGGATGCAGGATGTTGCGAGTTCGAACCTCGGCTGAGTCATACCAAAGGCTGATAAAAATGGTACTAAAAGTTGCCTTGCTAGACACTCAGCATTAAGGGATTAGTGTTACGTCTGGTCGGTCTGGTGTCAGGATAACGTGACTGGGTGGGACATCATGCTACATGTCTTAAGCATGATGCACAAGTACTAGACATCACTGCAGACATAGTAGCGATATGACTGAAAATTTTTTAAAGCCAAGTTACAAACCCAAATTACACACACACACAAATTAAACGCAATAATAGGGATGCGGCATTTCATAGGGCATAACCAGGTTTATTTACATTACGTGGAGTCTGGTCTTTATCAACTCGATAGCAATAGGTTGTTTTGACCTTATAAGCAAACAGTACAGAGAAAGGTATTTAAAGTTTGCCATTATGTCTATAATTATTCATTAAAGGATTAGGATATAACTGAAATAATTTTTCTGTAGGAAATATCACATGTTTATGTCTTTCAGTAAATACCAAATCATTCTAGGAAATGTCATATCCTTTCTTTGTTCATAATTTAAAGTTTTCTTCATCTTATTGTATCTAGCGAGAATCCTATGATACCTGTAGATACCCCACTATTGTACACTCTTGATTCGCATATCATGTCCACTACACTATTCTAAAAATTGAACAAAAAAACTTATACATGTATTAATAGATAAGGAGCTATTTGATGAGGATTAGCGCACATTATTTACGCCTCGAGACTATTTTGAATCCTTGTACCAATTGATGAATAAGTGACTTCACCAACCCCTCCATGAAAGATTAATACATTGCAAATAACAATGCCAGCTAACAGCTAATATTGTCAAAAGTGCATGTTAGATAGTTTAAAGCGTGGTTGTTTGACCATTTTCCTGCTACCATCCATCACTCATTAACAGGAATAAACAATAATGGCGTAAACTATTAATTAACCTGTTTCTTTTGTAGCAAAGATCAATCTATTTCAAGTAATTAACATACAGTTCTTAACCTGAGCTTAATTTAGTTTGTTTTAATTTATTCTTCAGTGGACAATGTAGGAATCATGTATGTATTTATTTCCCTAGTATATTCGTGATATACTGTTTCTGATGTTACTATGAATTCCTTTAAAGGATGAATTTAGAAGAGGATAAAAAATATATAAAGCACAAATGTACAGTGAATTAGGGTAGATTATTTTTCTCTCCTTCAATTTTCTACTGCCAACGTTCAATAAACTGAATTATCATCCGTCGAATTGTACAGAAGACGATAGAACCATTTAAGCTTGATTGCATATGAAGTATGAATAGAAATGCGGTGTTTCAGTTGAAATTCTTGGTGATGGTGACTGATATTCGATTCCATTCTGGACACAAAAGCGACCCATCTTTTAAGTTACAGAGCAAACTATTTTGGTCAACCTTTTAATCCAGTTTGAAAAGAATCGTATCTTATCGACTTTTCATACTTTAATTTAGTTACATAGAAGCATTTAAAAATCATCGAATCGATGACACGAACAAGATGATGTTACTTTGATGATGAAACTTTGTTGCTTTCAATGAAATTTTATACTTCTACTGCATTCTGTGTAAAAGAAGATTTTATGCAACAAACCTGTGCGTAGAACATACGAGATGGAGAAAGATTTATTGATTTATCCTCTTTGTATGATGATAATAAGTTACACTGAATTGTCCAAGGTTACATTTGTATATTGTGTATGCATAAGTGATGACTTGTCATAAGGTAGCATGGAACAGTGAGAAAATATAAGAATTAGCCACTGAAGAGACAATAACTTGGATAAACATGTTAGGATATTGATGCTTTAGATTATGATAACTATATGACTTATAATATGCTTCTATAAATAAATGTTACTAAAACTTTATTTCATATGCTTAAAGAAAATCAAATAAACGGTTGGCATAACTTTAACCTTCTTTCACGCTGAAATTTGGTGATTATTATATGAATATATTAAATGTTATAGGAAGGAATTTGCAAAGAAAAATTATATGAGCTAGATGTTCTAGCTTTCAAACAAAATGCTCATTTTGTTTCCTTTTTTTCAGGTCAACATTATGGCTTATAATGTATGTAGAGCAGTAAACGTCACTAATCAGAACATGGAATGTAACTCCGTCTCGCCTACGTCCATAAATAAGACCATTGCAGGGTTGCTTATCGTTACTGTGGTTGTTGGCTCTCTGGGGAACATTCTAATAGCAGTCACCATTTTGAAGACAAAATTGTTTCGTAAACCGGTTTACGCATTACTGCTTCAGGTCGCCACACTCAATGTACTTTTCCAGACCATTGTTGTGCCTATCAATATTTATACCTTTTTCCATAACTCATGGACACCAAGCATCGCACTCTGCACTATGATAGTGTACATGACCAACACACTTCTTTGCACCACACGTCTTCTGCTAATGCTAGTTTCGGTTTACCGTTGTATTCATGTATGTCACAATAATCTCTATATGAAAATCAAAACCCCAAGGGTGGTTGCCGTTTTCTGCCTGTTGGTTTGGGTTCAAACCATTTTAATTATTTGTTTAGTAGGGAAGAAAGTATCTTTTTCTCGGGAATACGTGATATGTATGTTTGAAAGTGCACAACATCTGCAGATTTTTCTTTCAATCTTTATATACACTCCAATGGTTATCATTCCAACTTCAATGTATATAAAGATCGCGGTATTCGTTAGGAATGCACAAATGCGTGTATTACCACAAGGACGCACCGCGTCAGAAAACCATAAAAAATCCCAGGCATTAACTAGAATGACGGCTTTAATTTCGCTCAACCATCTAGTGACCGTGGTACTGCCTGCGATCTTTTACATGGTGGATACAGACAATCGTACAATGAAAAAGAATCTTATTGCAGCTGCTGTGTTCCTCTTCAGACTCACATCAACGTTTGACTTCATTATTTACATATTCAGTTCCAGAACCATGAGGTCTATGATCGCGAACATATTTACATCCTTGATGTCCATAGACAAACCACGAGACACGCAACTTCAACAACACACTGCGAACGAAAACAGATTTTAGAAAAAGAGGTTTAGAAAGCATTGCTCTGATTCCATTAAATATACATACTTTGCAATTATAATTTAATATATTGTCAAGACACGCTGCGAAAGACACATTCTATTAGCAGTTTTAATGAAGCAAACATATCGTAGAAGATATATAAAAAGGAAGTCCATCTCTTGACCTTTCACTTGAAATGAGCACAAATGTTGTTATATGTGTCAAAAGACCCAATTCAAATTAGTGTAATGAAATGTCTTCATTGTAAAACAGCATTCTGTGGTTCCAATGTTTCGAATAAATTCTATTCTCCTCAAGAGACTCAGTTGCAGTCGTAGCAAAACTGTTCAGACTGGCAAGATTATGGCGGAGGAACACCCGTCCTTATACCTGGCGTATATCCTCATAATGGAATGGTCATTTCACGACGTTTCAAAATCAATGAAAGACCTATATATTTCAATTTATATGTAATTCATGGGAGATTCAGACAGACAAAACTGAAAAGCCTTACGTTTTGATAGTCTCAGACTGTTGCTTGCATTGCTATTAACAAGGACACCTCATCGAAACATCGTGATGTCGATCCGTTTGTGTATGTTCTAAGCAAATATTTACATTAGAGGTTGCGTTGTAGCATGCGATGGAAATGTCTGAGCATGTTCTGGGTGTACATTAACTGTGATTAAATTGCGATAGCACATATAGAAGGTTATGTAATTCAAAACAATTACGTTTAATGACATCAGGTTGCTTGCAATAAATACTGAATCTGAAGACACAGTCAGATGTAATTGTAATAAATAGACTGATTTCGGAATGAAGAATTTTATTTTTAATGTATATAAAAAATGTTAGTTTTGAATGTCTTCACAACAATTCATTGCATACCGTATTTGAAAGTTGGAAAATATTATCTATTACAGGCATCTTTGGACATCTTCTTTAAGTAACAAAACATCTTAAAAACTTTTTACGACAGCGTTTTACGTTTTTCAATCCGCAAAATCTCCAAAATATAAGTATGGGCGGCAAATTAAGATAAAGGGACATAATTCTAGTTTTATTCATTTGCTGATAAGAAGACTCAAATTCATCCAGAATTGCATGTTCTTCTACTTATGTTTATGATATATTTTATTTTATTTGTATTAATGCTATTGTAGTGCAATTTTATCAAACCATCTAATAATAGGCCCAAGCGGACTAACTCATCTCTTTCCGAAGTGCTCCAAAAATGACATCCATGTTACAACATTGTATCTTTTTCCAAATTGGACATGGTTTGTGGAGATGCTTCAAACATGCATACCATTGACTTTGATCAGTCAGGTCAGCCATTTTGACGAGTTTTTCTTAGCCTTTTCATGTCATTTTCCCGACCACATTGAAACCCAGCCTTTTGTTATGAAAACATGTGAAAATGAGGTTTAGGAATACTCCACTACTAGATTCAAGCACAATTGCAAGCGTATTAAATTAAATTTAACGAAATAAACCATACGTCTATTTAGCGGAAACTGAAATAAAATGAAAAGAAGACAGAAATGATAATCTGAAACTTTGTCACCTCTCTGGATTAACCAAAGTTGTTTCTTCATGCAAGCAGGAATGCATTTTAATCTATGCCTGAATAGATTTGTTATGAGCAATAATGTATTTTAAAATGATTTTATCGTCAGCTCTAAAAATTGTGATCTGTACATGTAACTGCTTTACACATTAGGATATATGGGCACCTATCTACATATCTATAGGTAGCAGACTTCAGATGGCAGTAGGGGGATGAGAAAACGATAAGGGATTCTGATGTATCGCAATTAAAACTGTAACCAAAAAATGTGTATTTCAAAATATCCAATTGTTATAAAAGAAACGATTATTACAGTAAGGGAAAAAAATTAAAACAAGCAACATCATTTCCTTTTACAATTGGTGCTAATGCCAATACATTGAGCTATTAGTAATAAA